TACGAATTGAGCCGTTTGAAAAGCGCCCACTTTCTACTCCTTGTGGCCAAGGTATCGAAAAACTCAAAAATTCTCCACAAGGAGTAAATATTAGAGCAAAATATGTTTATGTGCATCAGTTATTCGCATAAAAGGTCTATTATAATACTTTTCTTCCGGCACACTTTAGGAGATCAATTCCGTTGTTTCTGCGAGGTGGTTTTTGTCGCTGTTTTTCGCCAACCTGTTTTGTTGGACAGTGGTGAACCAAGACAAATCTGGGATGCGTACCAAGGTTCGTGTAAACTAACTTGAGTAGGTGCACGAGCGTTGTCACATACGCTACTCATCTTCGAGATGATGGTTACCAATGGTTAGAGACACTGAATGATAGGTCGCAAACAGTGGTGCTCGTGCATCCACTCATTATGCTCCTAACACCACTCAATATGAATTCTCCATCTTCCGCTTGGATTTGCTTTCAACATTCCAATCTTCATTCTTTTCTTTTATGCAACTGAGCACCGAAAGACGAAAACCGAATCCGGCGCACAAAAGTGCATGGTTAATGGTTGTAAAAACTGAACTGAACAGAACTTTTTCCCATGTCTCTCATCATCGCTCAGGTCACTCACGAGACTATCTACCAGGAAGGAATTCCTACGCCGCATATGTGACCGTGAGCCCTGATCAGTGTTTCTTTACTCTCCTGCTGAGTTCCTTTCTTTCACGACCTGCCTCGGGAAACATCGCACACCGAGGAAACTTATCCGGTGACGCGCGTAGCACATGCCACAATCAAAGCACTCGGTGGAGGTTCAGTGTTTACTCCAGTGCGCGACCGTAATTACCAAAATCTGTGCGCTTAGCTTCAGCATTACTAGTTCGGTTTCCTCCATCAAACTCATGAAATTTGGCCTCTTAATCGAACTAGTTGACACAGTTACGAGACGACAATCATTTAGCGGAGCACACAGAATTTTTTTCTATCACCATAGCTGCAGCATGTTAACCGCGATTTTTTTGATGTTTCTAGGTAAAAACAGTCAATACCCCACTGCATAATGGAAACAGAGAATGAAGAAGAGGACTACATGTCTGATAAATTCATCACTTTGTAAATCCCGATGCTTACGTTTTTTGACTAACAAAATGCAGATGTGACAAACCTTCCGGATTGAACTTGGCCAAAAGTGTCCTACGTCAGCGTGCCGTAGAGCTGAATAGTAAGAAAGGACGGACACTGTCCAGGACCGAGGAAGAAAGCAAACGCAGAACTGAAGGTCTCGAGAAGAAAGTCGAGCCAACGAACAAAGGATTTAATATGTTGGTTAAAATGGGTTACGCTCCCGGGAAAGGACTCGGAAAGAATGGTAAAACCTGTTTTAGTGCATGACTTCTTGTTCATCAATTTTACTTCCACTGTTGCGTCAACGTGCACTTTTGACTCCGTCTGTCTTCTCCCTCTTTAAATCGTGTTTTTAGAACGTGTATCTATGATTTATTAATTCCTTTGGAGTTCCGCACATCATGTGGCTTATTGAAAGGCAAATGTGCATACAACGCGCACTCAATGAATGAAGCCTGCGAACTTTTCTACGTCTTTCTCATAATTAGTTTGAGCATCGAGCCACCATTTCCGGCTGCTTTGCTTTTCATTTCACTCTCCACCTCTCACGTATCCAGATGTTGAATTTGTACCAAACACTAAAGCGCACCTGAAACATCCTTTCCTCTCCATCCATTTCATCAACACAAGAAGAAGACGTGAGCGGATTTGTTATTAGCCATCAATTGCTTGCGTGCTCTCATTCAGTTGTAAACGCGCATTCATATGAGCATATCAGACGAAGAAATAAGGATTGAAATGAATGATTTGAAGGCAACTCACTTGTCCGCCATTGAGTAAAAATGAATCACTTCAACTCTAGTGTTTCTTCGGTTGGTATAATCGCATAAACGTGCGTTTGCAGCTGAATGAGGGCACGCGAGAAGATGATGGCCAATACCAATTCTACCCATGTGAAAAAGAGAAGAATTGAGCATTTGTTCCTACTCCCTACTTAGGCACCAAACTTAGGCTCCAAACAGCTTTCAGGATCCGATGAAGATACTCTTGGTGCTTTATATCTTCGACTGGTAAATGCCCGTCTCTATGCGCATTTCTGGACAGGAAAAATCACAGCGTTAACAACACCGAGTTTTGTTCGCAAACTGAATTCATTACGCGCACATAGTGTCTGTATTAGTTTTCAGAGTTTTCTTGCGACATTTATTCGTGGAACGATACCATTTGACCATTTGGGGAATATCTTGGCTGAACGTATGTTGAAGGAATTCTTCTCGCAGTGTTTGTCTTCTGACTTCGTTGTTCAAATTCATTACGCGATCCAGACGTTTCAAATATCTTAGAGTCTATGCCTTTAATCGATGTGCATTGTTTGACAGAGTCAGAGTCATTCACAAAAACTGTCCGGCTTGTTATATCTACGTTCTATGGTTTCATGTTATCCAACCTTTTGGATTCATTTCAATTGGTCAAAAACAAAAGTCAGTCGAGCCTATTTTCCCGTATTCTTTATAGCCGAAGGCCGGGCAGAGCCCGTCCCTATCGAGGTCCGCTCGAGTCGCAGTGGTCTTGGGCGTGATGCAGCAGAACGTGAACGGAAAGAGGCCATTCAACGGATCCGTCAACATCTGGTGGTTACGGAACGGAATCAGTTCCTAGATGTTATGTCCACAAAATTTCGTCTTAGTCGTGCGAAACGGCAACTCGAAGCTGCTCGTAGAATCTGTCTGCAACTGGATTCGGCTCAGTCCATCCCAGTGCCTGTTTCTCCGGCATTTTGGCCAACTCCAGACACACCCAAACCGCCAAAATCTCCAGACCACGAATTCCGTCGGAGACGTCGTTCGGAGCGAACCGATCGCTCTGAACAACGTTCTCCCCAATCGAACCAAGAGGATCGGGATAGGTCACCATTCTACGATGATCGGGACCAGTTACCACAGTTGTCCGACGAAGAAGAATTGACCAGTCTAGACGCAGACAATCCAAAATCACTCGAAGTCAATGTAAGTGCTCTTCGGTTTTCCTATGCGAGAAGAAATTACTTGTCGTATCGTGTGAATTTGTTTGTTCTTACGGGCAAATGCCAGGCACCATCGTTGGTGCAACTAGTTTCTTTACTTCTTAGCGCTGTAAATCAATGATTCTAGGCAGGGTCTGCGTTCATGGTTTAGTTTGCGATCCACTTTATTTTATTTTTCATCTTAAATCTTTTACGTTGAAGCTAGCTTTGTTTTATGTGCTTTCTCATTTTAAAGTGATCCATATGTATTTGAACTGGCAAATCAGAAGACAAACACTGAGAGGAATTCCTTTCGTATACTCTCATCGGTTGCGTACTTATAACACAGAACAACAAAGACAAATGAAGCGTATTAAATTCCAGAATATGCCCATTTTGACATGAGAACATGTATTCAGAGACGACCAATCTAGTTCCGTTCAATCGTGTGTGTGTGTGTATTTGTGATGTACAAAATTGGTTATACTCAGGGAAGGCCAAGGGTAAAGGTCATACGCTTTTGGGCACAATATTTGGATCGGTTTGGGGGATGAAGACGATCTCCCTTTCCTCCTCGGTTAAAATGACCATTGACTATTGTGAAAATCATCACACAGACGGATTTCTGACCTTAGTTTAACAGTGACTATAGTCACCTCTTCTCAAACATCCCGCTAGCTAGTTCCAACACGTCAGGGAAATTATTATTGGGCTAGCTAAGTTATTGGGGTTATTTTGTGGCAGGCTTGTCGCGAGCCAAACGATTTCAACCTCTCCTACTGACTAGAGTTGTTCTGGAAAGCAAACCGAGTAGTTGCCGTTTCGCTTCAGTGATAGACAGTTTTAATGTTCTCCAGGTCAATACCACACCTCGTTTAGAGGTCTTACGCGGCTTGTCACTCAGTCTAGAGCCTAACTCATCGTCATTTTTCTGACCATGTGACTCAGTTATTTTTCTTTTATTCTGCTGTGTAGCTAAAACCGGACTCCAGCTTATCCTGTGGAATGGCCTTTGGATCAAGCAACATGCCACAACTGCCAACTCTTGGTGAACAAAACGAGTGCTGTAAAGCAGTTATCTTGCATAGCACACATTATACAACAAACCTCTGTTGTGAACGACCCTTAGCTTCAATCGGTTACTCCGAAAATCCCGGTTTGGTCGGGGGTTGGCTGTCTTTGGTCGTGACTGGGTACTCTTCTCTTGCACCTCGGGAAATGCTTATATGGCTTCTGTTTAGGATGTCCTATGTGAGGATAAACAATGTTTGTCGATGAATCCACGAAGACGTAGAGTTGTAGTTTAGTAATAAGCGGCCTCCTGAACATCACGCCGTTTTGTTTTTCGAGTGTAATACGTCTGCAGAGCAACAGCATATCCAAGAGAGCGGAATAATTTGGTCATGTGCAACATATAGCACACAATCGTAACGAATCCATTGCCTGGCTCGCACAAAAGCCCTATGTCTGCTTGTGATTTGAGCTTCTGGTCTACCCTCGAGCTTCATCTGTTTGACTTAAGTTCATCACTAGAACAGTTCCAGTAAGCCTTTTCTTCCGAGAAATCCCTGGATGTTTTGGCATCGTAATTTTTCATTTTCGGTTCCAACAGCTCTACCGAAACTCAGCATCAGTCTTTTTGTTCTCTCTCCTTCTCCAGTATTCTTCATCTAACTAGAACTGATATACATTACTGTTGTATATGTATGGGATATCCATTCAGATCTCTCTCTTTACTAGACAGTTAACCCCTTACAGATGCTACCGAACAGTGTGATTCACTCAACTACTCGCCTGTTTCTCATTCGTTCATTTGTCACTCGGTCGAAATTTCGTGACACGCTAAACCATGGGACCTGGTCCCCACCAACATAGCATTTTACAGGCCCTATGCTTGTATGTATCATAAAATACACTCGGCATTTATTGATCTGGTATTGTTTTATTTCTATAATTCTTTTCTTTATCTCTCTCACGGTTTCGCCTCGCCCTCCCTATTTGAATGTCTCGTGTAACTTGGGGAACTTATCCAATCAGCCACTCACTGTACTCCCAGATTTGGTGAACTATCTTCGAGGTCGACATTTTTACTGCTTTTGGTGCAGTGCGCAGTATGCCGATTCGCGGGACCTAGAACAGGAGTGTCCCGGTCCGAACGAAGAAGATCATGAATAACTGATCATCCTTCACTGACAAATCGTGATGCTGTATTTTCTCTTGTACATATGTGAAATTTTATTATAAAAGATTTTTAGAAAATCTGTTTCTCCTTCTGCATTCTTCCTCTGGGTTGTTTGTTTGATATCCTTGGTGGTGATGCGAATCGGTGAAACAGACCAATGATCACACTGTAACAGTGTTTGCGCGGTTCACTTTATCATGTTACTTATCGCGTTGAGAAATGATAAATGCCCAGAGGCAACATTGTGTTGTCCGGTTTGTCTGAGGTTCTCAGGCGACCCGTAAAATTTTGTCACTTAGCATGTTTTTTTGTGTGTTCGAATTCACCGAACCAAATGGCTCATCCTGGGTCGTTGAGCACATTAGTTTTCACATCTTATCTTGCAATTCATCTATGGGTTACTGTCTACATTCGTAATGTGCTATCGGAAGCAATCAAACAGGAGAACGATTCTTCGATTCTAATCTGTGCAACTGGTTCTGTGTGGGATAGGGACAAACGTAACTTTTCTATCTGAGGTATTTGCAATTTGTGATCATTTGTCAACCATAAAGTATCATTCTTTGCTCGACTTGTTTGGCTCCACCGAGAAAGTGTTCCATTTCATTTGGATTAGAAATTTTCACTCTGAACTGTTTAATCTCTTTACGTGCTCGTGTACACGGTTGATAACAAAACATGCGAACCCCAGATCCATCCGAACGATTCATGCACAAGTCTTTCTAACTCCGTAGAACCGTGTTCACAATTCAAAACGTAGAGTGATATGCAAGCCGCCGTCTTGATTTTAGTGAGCGGAAGTACTCACCCTGGGTACATATCATCATCTCTTTGCTGGTTGTCGGTGTCCTGTGATAAGTGAAAAGCTTCAATAAGAGATATTTCGATGTTTGTGGAGAAATTGCTTTGTAACTTTCTTTTGAAAACAAATGTTTTCCCGGTTCAGAATAGCCGATGAAAATTTCACGGACGACAGATTTCGATCGAAAGGCACACGCGTGTGGGCAGTGCTTCGGTGTCACAGCGCAGTCGAGCACTGCATCGCAAAGCGATAAACCAAGGTTACCGTGTTGTCATTCTAGAACAAAGAAGGTTCATCTCTATTCTAACGACGACTTCAATTGCTCATTCAGTATTCTGGGTACTTCGAACCATTCATGGTTCCGTTAAAGAAAATTAAATTACTCTTCCTATCCGATCAACCATCTCTCTACACCGTAATGAAACTCCCGCCACCTTTCAGTGTCAATGCACACTCATTCCGTTTGATTGCTTACGACCTGTCGATCTCCATCCAGACTCATCCTTCAGTCAATCGTTCCTTAATGAAACTTCGTTTATTGTGTTTCACACCCCAGCGACACTGATGCACGTTTTTCGATGGCAGTCGGTCATCCGAAGAATATTTATCAGTTGTCGTATATTCGGAGCACACTCTCCGAACCAGGAAAAACATACTCCTATTTCAAAATGGGTTTCCCAAAACGAGTTCTTCGCAGACATCAAAATATTCTCTGTTATGGCTGTCTACTTGTCACAGAAAGCCGACCAGAGTTACTGCGACATGTATCGGCTTCCTTATATCTTATTATCTATCTACACTCTCTTTTTATTTCACACCTAAGTGTGATGAACAGCAGATGGGGCGAACCCCATAGTCACGAAGACCTGCTGTTCAGTGATGGAAACCGGTAACCTAAGCCCCGGGACTTGGAGTGACGAACCACATAAGACTCCGCTAGGTTAGGCGTGATAGTGAACCGGACGACAGCAGAGCTGCCTATCACCAAAGTCGGGTGGCGGTGGCGGGGCTCAAACCTCGGATCAAAGCACGCCGGTGACACCATCGTTCGTAATTCGACGAGTGCTTTCGATATCCAAGTACCGATCTTGATGGTTCCCCACATTACGGTCACCTGACGAATAAAGTAATGCTTTTTCAAATTCATTCGAGCAAACGAAAGGGATCTTCGATTCAGTAGACCACGCGGTACCCCGGCGTTACTTCTGCCTGAAGGGTGTTCTGGAAAATGATCGTTTCACAGGTGCGATACTTTCATATGAATAACTGAATTCGAGTTTGGTCTTAGCGCTATCTTCGTTTAAGTTCACCAGACAGTGGTGTTCTTTGGAGTTACTTTCTCCTTTTCTCATCCAATTTATAATGGATATGATTCTAGAAACGGCCTTGTCCTCATGTAGGGATAGTAACGTCGATGTGCTCCCAGACGAAAGCTTGTCTGATATGGACTACTCAAACGACTTCCGAACCAAGGTACTGTTACGGTGCGAACCCTTCTGGTTGGTATGAGTGTCATTGTGATTGTGTTCGTATAATGTCTGCTGAGTTAGTGAGTGGGCAGACCTAGCACGAGGGTATGAAGTTTGAGCAGAATTTTTGGTCATATGGGTTTTCTGCTTTCGGACGGCACAATCAGCCTAATCGACGGTTAGGTAGTTTGACTGGTACAGTTACGTGTCGGAACCAGCGTAACTTGTGTACCTGTCCCATTTCGTAAGGTTAATCTACTTGAATTCTTCATCTTCGATGGTATTTAGAACAAACAGTTTGGTGAAGCATTTGTTTTTAAGTGATTCATTCTCACACCATTCACCGTTTTCAAAGGTAACATTAAAAACAGATCACACGCAGTTAGACCCAATCATGGGTTAGAGTTTGATTGTTCAATTAGCGTTAGATTGTGAAACATGCTACTCTATGCGCTTTGTTCAATTCCAGTGCCGTGAATTTCAGGTCACAGCGAGCATCAGTCCCACTGAATTTGTCATGTGGTGATGGTACAGTGGCTTAGTCGCTGTCACCGGCGTGCTTGGGACCCTATGATCCGAGGTTCGAGCCCCGCCACCCGACTTTGATGGTAGACAGCTCTGCTGTCGTCCGGTTCACTATCACGCCTAACCTGGCGGAGTCTTATATGGTTCGTCACTCCAAGTCCCGGGGCTTAGGTTACCGGTTTCCATCACTGAACAGCAGGTCTTCGTGACTATGGGGTTCGCCCCATCTGCTGTTCATCACTCGTAGGTGTGTAATAAAAAATAACGTCGGTAGTAATGTTCAAAACGATCGATTGCATACCTGAGCCTAGTTCTTTCTAGTTTTTTGTAAGGCGTCAGAAACTAATGGACCGGTGGGAATCCCATAGTCCCAGTACCCCGGTTTCGGTACGAAGTTCGATAAAATAAGAACTGGACATTGAGTTGCAACGAAGCAGGAACTGGCGTAAACTGTGAAGTGGTAAACCAGCAGTAAAGTTATCTTCTTATATAGGATTCATGAAGAAATCGATGGGTTTTACTAGTGACACGTTTGTAAACTAATAATGGACGTCTAATGAAAACATTGTTTTATCCTTTATATCAGATATCTCTCAAATGCATTCCATCGCAGTTGAATGCATTTACCTCGTGGGAAACTAACAATTTCCCAAGGAGTAAAACCCACACCGAAGACCATCAAGAGTGCCTAGTGCCTCTGAGCAATCGAATGGGCTAATCCAAACTTGATACCCTAAATTTAATGTATGACTACGTGTCCTCTCTGTGCAGGGCATTGCATCTCTTATTTTTGAAAATGAGTGTACTACTTACAAGTAGTATGTTTTCCAGCTGAGAAATGTTGCTTGGGGGAGGGTAACCGTTACTTTATTTTGTCGCATCACCATCATTGTGTGCTATTTTTGCGTTTTGGGCAAAACTCAGAAAATATAAAAAAATATAGTGAGGAGTGTGTGAATTCGTTAGAGACAAACTGTTCACTTCTGTGGGCCGGATGATCTTAGCAAACTAAATTCTGCTTATTTTCATCACAAATCCCTAATCAGGGACGCGGGCAATAGAACCAGTTGTTCCTAATCTGTCCATTTGTGAATCAAAGCCATGATTTGATGGGGTAATCACTGCGAAACCGATGATGTACTTCCGGGTGTCTTTCTTTCAATCACTCATTACGTATTAAAAGATGTTATCTTTGATGCCAACAATTCGGTAATTACTACACTGTGGGTTCGACATAGGCTCGTAGTTTTCAGCATCCGAAAAGACATTTGTGAGCACCCAGAATTATAGTTTCGGCTGTTTCTTTTTTTCTTCCGTCATTGAAACTATGTGCCATCGATGCGCTTATATTTCTCCAGACACCTGTTTTCATCTTGTAATTGGGAAGTGCCCCATTCCGGACTGCATTTGACGAAGATTTCGTTGGTTTTGATCCTAAATTTTTCTCTTGTCTCCCTCCTCGGAACACAAGCAAAACCGATCATTTTGCATCAAATTCACTTCGTCTTCTTCTTATCTGACCTCCCCCACATTTTAAAATCCCTTATCTAGTTAATATCCTTTTTTGTTGCATACAGTCTTTACTTACACGATCTGTGTTTTTTATAGTTACCGATTCAATGCCTGTAGATCGGTCAGAAGTATCTTCTGAAAGTGGTTCTGTTGAATCCCCAGATTCCGAAACGACTGAGCATCAACCATCTGAAAGTGTTGACACAACTGCGGAAGACAAAACAGCAAATGAGTAAGTTTCAAGGTTTTTATTCCCTCATGCCAGTTTTTTTAATGTGACCACCTTTGACCTTCCACTCCCTCGGCAAACATCGCACACTGCTGACGTGCAAAATCTACATAAGTCGAGCATCTGCTCCAGTGAGCGACCGTGATTCCCTAAAGTAACGGTACTTAGCTTTCTAAATGATATAGTAATTAATCAACCACAAAAATTCTCAATAATTCCTCCCGAATTTTCGGCCGTGAAGCGTTTTTCAAACACGCATTATCCATGTGGTAGAACTATACGGTAATGGTCTTTTAATTGATAGATTTTAAATAACTTGAAAGTCCTCACCGGTGCCTTCAACATTCACGTGGAATCCCAGATCCAGGGGCGACCCATGTGCAATCCCCTCCAACCCAATGGACGACGGAAGCTGCCAACTTCAAGCATGCGCGAACCACGGATTTTTCCCATCAAACACTAACGTCTCACACAATAAATGACACTGTTTGGCATTGGAACCTCTCCGCTCGTCTCAACAAGGGAATGAACCTGATCGCATTGCCAGTAGCTACCAATTTTGAGGATGTATTAAAAAATACATACATCGCTCCAACTGGTCTACACTCATGGATTCAGACCATACTGTGTCTGTTCGGACTTATCCCGGTGATGAGCGAAAAATCCTCAACTGTTGCACCGTCGACTGAGCAGAAAAAACTCCAGTATTCGGATATGCAATATCTATCGGAAGAAAAATTCTAGATAGTTCAATCTACCATCACCGCCTAAATCGTTCACCCGCAATCACAAACCCTATTTACGCGAATGGTTTGTAACATCTGTCTTGTCCTGGTGATCCCCCACCTCCACCCATTCGTACTTACGTGGTCCCTTTGTCATGAGCAACATAGCCTCTTCTCTTTTGCTTTCGTTATTTTAACGGCTATGAAGACTATCTGGACTGTAAGAGACATGCAGATGTAGCGAAAAGATGCTGGATTTATTGTTCAAACCCATATTTGTCAACTCTCCCTCCTCCGCTTCATTTTGTGACAGAAAGCAGTGTTTCCATTAGATCGGGATTCGGTTGTTTGCAGTGCTCGACAGTTGGATCGCAAACGTTTCTTCATCAGTCCAGGTGATAATTTCAGTGCGATCTGGGCTGATAATGATGATCGAACTTTTGCAGTGTAGGATCTCTGGAGAAGATTCTGTTATGTGCATTACACATTGGAAACCCGTCGAATAACGCGTAAATCCAAAAGTCAACGGACTACTAGATTGTCTGGAAATGTGGTACTGTTATAAGGAATGAATGAATAATATAAAATAGGTAGAGACCTCAAATCATGAGGCAAATGGTGGAGGCGTACGTGTTTGCACTGTCAAGGCACAATCAGATAACAATGTGTCAAAGTAAAACAGCGTTTTACTGTGTTCAAAGTAGCCTTCAAAAGCTGTCAAAGCGTTCGACTCAACGGCTGCATGTGGATGTGATACAATCAGTCAACGATCAGAATGCCTTAGGTAGCAAGCGCACGAGCATAATGGTCAATGACTGACAGCCAGCCAATCAGATATACGGTATCAAAATACCAATTACGTGAGGGATGGGAACAATGAACTTATGTGCGTGCGTACGTGTGTGTGTGTGTGTCTCGACCGGTGGTTGCTAAACCGGTTAAGAGTAAGGGACGGTGGGGTCGAAGATAATACAAGTCACAGGTGAGGGAACAGTCGATCCGGAAGATAGATCTAACTCAGGCGTAGCACGTTCCGTAAGAAAACGAAGAAATAACACAAATAGAGCAGTGGTTTGCAGTGCTCAGTACGCGTTTACCAAACTGTGGTAGTCATGATTCCAAAGGGGGACGTGTTTCTCTCAATAGCACGGCGTTGACTGTCGAGGTTGTCGCGAGTAACCTTTCTCAAGACAGATTTTCATTCGATTATGCAATTAGAGCATGCAACTTACCCGCAGTAGCCGAAATGTCGACTTTGTATCACCCCTGCTGACGACACCGTGTTGGTGACCAATATACATTTTTTTTAGATTCATTCCTAACCGAACGAGGTTCGGATGCAATGGAGTCCTGATTTTATTCATGCTCTTTTTGTCAAATCAGAAGAAAATGATTTCGTGACACCATTTGATTTTCTTAGCCCCCAAGGGGTGGGGTTGATCGATAATCGAGAGATAAAACCCACAACATTCAAAGGTCATAAATACTTTACGGTAGTTCATGTACTAGCCTGTACTGACCATATCAGGAAATGGCGTCTGCCGGGGATAGTCTCTTTATGTCGGTCCAAAAACCAGCGCTTTTGTTTGGCAGTAAGGGACTTGGGAATGAGTGCCCCACGCTTCGCACCTCAACAGTTCTGTGGTTAGATTGTGTCATGTACGTAAGTGATCTACACAAAGGCTGAATACGATTAATTTAATGCAGCGCTTTCTTCGGTGCTTCCCGGACTAGCTCGCATCTCAGCCTTTCTTCCACGTTTCTTTCAATAAGTACATAAGGATATCCTTTTTTTGAGAACCTTCTCAGTGTTTAATTTCATCTGAAACAGTGGATTCCAAGCACATTTTCCCATGCACGCCGAGGCCCTCAATTAACTCCCTCTCTCTCTCTTGTTGAAGGATCACGAAATTTTGAAATTTGGTGCACTGTCTGGTCTAGGTTGTTTTTCTGTATGCTGAAAGATCACCCACTTAAATATTCCCTTATAAAATTCGGTACCGCCTGGCTATTAATATAGATTGAAGCATCTATTTTCCTCCGAATCCATGTTCTCATGTCATAGTGGGCATATTCGGTAGTCTAGATAGATCTCAAGCCTACTTCCTACTCGTATTGTGATGGTTGTGGTAGATAACCCAGATGTGTTTTAGACGGTGATTGTTTGGATTAGTTTATTCGGCTTTTCACAGGTACCAGGCATTGTTGACGAGTCCCACACAAGACGAAACAGTTGTCCAGTGTTCTTTGTCGGTTATCACAAAATTTTCCACCGCATTTAAATCCACATGTGCTTTAGCTCACTCAACGCAGTTGGTTCTCTTCATCACACAATTCAGTCTCACATTTCTTGTAGACGGATAATTGATGCGGTTAAAGATAGTTGTTTGTTTACGGTTATTTTCGGTGTCGCGTATCACTGTGATAGAAGTTTAAACTACTCGGTAAACGCTGGTCTCACCGTAGATCTCCCACTCCGACCGATCAAACGTTGTCACTGGATCCGGTTGAACGTATGTTAGCCAATCTCATTATCCACGAAGAGGCTCATTTCCGTCATCAAACACGCGATGAGAAACCGCTTTCCGACTTCCAAAAGCTATCGATTGCTCGTGAGTTGTACTCACAAAAGCCTGGTATATTCCTTGAACGATTCAGTCGCTACCTAGACTGGTCACAAGATCGGATTAATTTCACTAAATGGCATAGTTCGGATGATTTGGTTGGTTATCTAATGGACAAACTGGATCGTGAGGCCGAGCTGAACAATGTGCGTAAATCCAAGGTGGCCTCATGTCGGGTTCGAAATCGGCGTCTAAACGTGAGTTTTTTCCTTCTAAGCACCCTGAAATCGCACTTGTATTGCAAGCTCTTTTGTCTTCTAATGAGCTGATTTTGCGCAGTCACATTCAACGTTTTATTTCCAATACAGTCTGATCTGTAAACCAAAACGTTTTTACAGCTGCCGTGTATCGTATTCGAATCCCCCATTGCCTAGTTTGTTTCTCCCAATTAAAACTGGTTTGCGGTACATCTATAGTATTGTAGCTTTTAAGTGCGAATTGTCGCAATCAAGTGTAACAGAAAATTTTTACTTGTCACAGCGTCCCAGCACTTAATTGAAATAATATGAAACTTCTAGAGTTCTTTTGCGAGTCAGTCGGTTGTTTGCACACGTCCTGTTACTGATTGAGAACAGAATTTCCTGAGATTTTGTGGATCGAGAATTTGTGGTAAGGCAAATATATCTTTGCTCTCATTCTTTCTCAAGATTCTGCAAATGTCTTGGTAAGCAGCTTTGCTGTCGTCCTAACCTAGCGGGACCTTCTATGATTCGCCACTCCAAGTCCCGGGGCTTAGGTTACCGATCTCCAACACTGAATAACAGATCCTGGCAACTACGGGGTCCAACCGTCTGCTGTTCATCACACAAATAAGTTTAATAAAAAACGTTAGCGACTGATAGGCAGCACATCTTGGAGGATAGTTCGAACACAATACGAGATGAGATGGCAGGAAGCTAACTGGGGGCTGGATTAAAAGCCAGCATCCGGACATTCGGACAAAACTAATCTACATCAACAATAATAATGCCATTTCTATAAAAGAAAACGAGCAGGTAACAGAAAGGTGGATTAGTCATGTGTTTAGCACTGAGGCCAAGGGAACTCCAAATTTGTGAACTGTTTAGATCACAACCAAAGTCGTTGCGTCATGGTGGTGTGAACAACTGATTCTCTCTTCCCCTGGTCAGGGGAGTTTGAGAGCTTGAGTCAATTTGTGTTGTGCGCAAAGCTCAGGATTCGTGAGTCGCATACTAATCGCGTCTGCGGTTGCTAACGTCCGAAACCGTATTACTCTGTGTTTGTGTGGTGAGACTCGATAAACGATTGTAAAAGCCGAGCGCATATCAACCAAGAGCAAAATGGTTTCGGACGTTAGCAACCGCAGTGTCGAATAGCAGCCGATTCATGAGCCCTGAGCTTTGCGCACAACGCAAATTGATTCAAGCTCTCAAACTCCCCTGGCCAGGGGAAGAAAAAAACAGTTGTTCACACGACCATAACGTAACGACTTTGGTTATGTGATCTAAGCAGCTCACTAATTTGACCTCACTGTCAAGCACATGACTAATCCCCCTTTCTGTTTGACCCTATTGAAATTGTTTAATATAAATGCAAAGGAACTCGTAGAAATGGCTGATGGTAGTAGTCATCCTTTCTGGGTCTGAAAGATAACTGGATAGGGTTAGCAGAATATTCCGTGCCGGAACGCATGAAAAATATAAACTGAATTGCATTCGAGGATCACTTTTCGACGAGTTCAATAGGACACCATCGTTGACGAACGGAAGAATGATAGACAATAGTTTTTTAGAAACGGTTTAAACTTGGCTCTGTTGTGGTTGTTTTCTAATATTATTCAATTAACTCGTCCGGTAAACCAGTGTCATGTCTGCCTGAACTCAACACCAAACTGCACGCTTGACTGACTTATTTCGCCTCTCCTCTTTTATTCAACATACTTCTCCGTCCTTTCATTCAAGAGCAGTACCACTTTTGTGCTAGACGGCAGATCGAACTGCATGATAAATCTGTCTTTCTTTCACAGGCTTTATATCGTGCCGCTCGAGGGGACAACAGTTGTCCTGTTTCCGATCATTTCACACACGAGGCGATGCGTCAGCGAGATCCTGTCCTCTGGGAAGAAATGATCGGCCAGCATCTGGACGAACCGACAAGACGCCGTTATTTGGATAGGGAATACCAGACATTTGCTGGATATTTACACGGACAGCTGATACAACAAGAAGAGAAACGGATGTTTAATCAAGCTCGTTACAAACAGGTTCGTACCAGTCAGTTGTTTTTTGCGTCTCCTATTGCACTTTGATTTCATCTCGTACACCAGCACATTCGTATCGGCATTTTTCTCGTCTGAACCGTGAGCTACTACGGCAAGCCTTATTTGCTGATGTTGTTCTCACACAGTATTATTCAAATTGGTCCCTAGATTTAGCTGTGTGGAATTATTGTGATTGATGTTTATTTTCCTCGGACTGGTAAAGTATCCACGTCTCAAGAGTAGAGTTCACTTTAAGTGGACATACGGAACGGTAAGCATTTACGTTTTTGCGGTATCACTTTTTTACTTCAGGGCTTGTGAAACAGTGGACTTTTTGTGTGTAGCCCACTAACTTTGTACAAAGGGAGGAGGGAAAGCCTCGAACACGTCCGCAGTGCGCTTTGTTTCAGCTAGGTGTGAAACCACCGTACTGGTGAGTAACTTAGTCGTTCCAATGTTCAGTCAGGCAGGGTAGTGTTCACGAATCTGTTCGGGCAATCACCTGACCGTGCAGCCTATATACGTTGTTCCACAGGACCAAGTAAATGAGGATGCACAGATTGAAACCACAGAGACTGGAACTTTGTCTTTCAATCGCAAACACAATTGGCTTGGACGTGAACAATAGACGAAGCTTGGATGCGAAGAAAGTCTTGTCGATTGCGTTGAATAATCTTCTTTGTATGTTCTCAGCTAATGTGCCCCCTTGAATGGCGAAGAAACGTACACGGATTTTTTTAACATCGGTGTCTTGTCAAGTGTTCTCCGTGCATTGAATCATTTTGTTGACTAAACCTTCCGGATATCCCTTACATGCAAAGATCGATCTTTTTCTAGTGTTTCCTCACTGCAGATCTTTCTTGCTCTATCCGCTAGGCAGCAAATCAGGTTCCTTTTCACCCTAAGTGACACAAAGCTTCGGAAATGGATTTATTGGCGTTCCTAATTTGCCTTTCTATGCACGGAACGCTGCGCCGAACCATCTAATCGACGGGTGGTACAGATATCTAGAAAAGGCAGTTTGTTGTTACACTCCATTTCTAAGATAAATGCTATTTAAGATTGGTAGTGTTGAACCTGCTTAATGGTTCCGTTGTGTTTGATGTTGCATTGGTCACACAAAAAGTATTATAGTATAGTCCTCAATGGATGACTGCAATTGAGTATGTTCGAAATTCGCCATGAATAAGTCCGCGGAAAGCGGTCCCAATCGAGACCCCATGTCCACGCTATCCTTTTGTCGGTGAATCTCATCGTCGAACTTGAAGTGAACATTGTAAATGCATAAATAAAGCACTTATTTTAGGTCATCCAAACGGGAGCCGAGCTCTACATTATTGGTTTGTACATAACTGCACAGGTATTCAATCTTTTCGCTAATGGAAACACTTGTGAATAGCGAATTTTGTTCACAAAAGTTAATCTGTCTTTGACATTGTTTTTCCAACCCAACTCGGACGGGTTCTAACAATTTAGCCAACCCGAACGTAGTAGAACGAGTTACACATATCCAATATATTGTTATATGCTGGTATGAATACGAATAAGTGAAAACGAGCTTGTTCGCCACTCTAATGTTTGGTTTGAAATGTGCTCAGACCACCCATTGAGAGCTCGTGAGATTGATGGGCAACGTCAATTATGCCCATATTGTGTTACTTGCAAGATTCACACATCCACGGGAGAGAATAATTTCTCTATACGTATATCCGTTGACTAAAGACTGATTATTTACAAACTATTTGACTCATTCAGTCGTCTGCCTGCTAACCTGACCCCCCTCCCACGTCTGTTTTTTATGCGATAGAGAGCAAACAAAGCAAAATATGATGATGACGATGAATCAGATTTTGGTAAGTGTGAATTTACAACCACCAAACTGTGCGTTCACCTCAGTTGACCCCGTTCCAGAGACCATTGAAGATAGAGAACGCGAATTCCTGGACCTGATGAAGCTGCGATTTCTATCCGGCCAGGACAAGAGCTTCAACTATCAGTGAGTTTTTTTTTATCACACACGCATTTAGTATGATACCATCATCGGACTACAGTTTCGACCTTTATTCAAAGTTTTATCGTGCTTCTTTTTCTCCTAAAGGAGAAGAAACGCTTACGATGGTGCACAGCCCCGGTTGTGCTCATAAGACTTTCTTTGTCCACAAAAAGGAAATGAAACAGATAGACCAGTCACTTTGCTGAACAACTTTTTGTGCTCGGTGTCACGGTCAGACATTCGACAGTCAAGTTTTCTTTCCAGTGCTGACATCAGAAATCTGTACGCGCAGACGCACCTCATTATTTCCCCTACGAAATGTGCTCCGTGGAACCATCTATGCAAGAGGAAATGCTCCAACCTCGTGTACTGAAGCTGTCATAGCCGTGTTTAGCTCAGGTAACATTTGGTCGTTTTATTTTTAAGCTAGATAAAGGAGCCCCGCCCCAATCTGTTTTTTTGTTCTGTAATACCAGTTTGAAATGATGACGCACTTACAGACAGTAGAGACCGGTCACTGTTGCACTCACCGTTCAAACATCTGTTCGGTTTGCAATCAACAAACTGTTTTGGGAATAGAGCTGTCTGAAATGAAGATTATTTCTGTTCCTGGGCCTCACACTAATTTCCCACAAACAAGCTTTGCAAATTTGAACTTTATCTTCGTTGGAATTATTTTGTAGACCCCGAAGGTTCGCGGTTCGAGTCCCGCTTTGGGTAAAAAAGTACGCATTACGGAAGTGTCCCAGTAAGGGCAAAAGGGCTGTCGCCCATCATCCAATAACTCCATTACATATAGTCACATTTCACGTACGAGGAATGAATGAGTGAAACCCGCAATCACCAGAAGTGGCTTGTGCTTGTTGAAGTACGAATGAGTCCATCCAAACCTGACATGCTAAATCACAAGTAACGTTCGCTTCCCCCTTCGCTATTCTCCCTGTGGCCCAAGATTAGGTTTGAAAAATTCATGGAGCTGATCAGAATTATTCACCCCACGAAATAACCATCCATGCAACCTTGTATTACGTTGTCAGCGTCTCGATTATTCCTCACAATTTGTTTCCAAGGTAGTGTTATGAGTCACTGATGATGGGTGGTGGTGGTGTAGTGGTTTAGTCGCTGTCACAGGCATGCTTTGGATTCTGTGGTCCGAGGTTCGAGCCCCGCCACCGCCACCCAACTTTGGTGGTAGGCAGCTTTTCTGTCGTCCGGTTCAATACCCTGCGTGACCTATCGGCAAAGATAATGACGTTCTGTCGCGTCCGATCAAAGATGAAGGTGTTCCACCGGAAGCCATCCCAGTTTCCCGGCTGGTTTCGAGCGATGTGGAAATTAA